TTTTTTTTTTTTTTTTCTATACTATTTACAGTCTCAGTCTCTTTCTGTCTGTGTCTTGGCTTCCTCAGACAATTTAATTAAAAGGAAAAAGAAAAATCTCCCCTGGTAGAAGGCTGTGCTTAATCTTTTACCTTGTACTGGGGTAGCCAGCACTGTCTTAGGGGACCCAGAGGCTTTACAAGGTCTTGGAGGGGGAGGGGCCCTGTGTATGATGCAAGGACCAGATTTCCCCTGGAAAAAAATCCATTTACACCACTACCACTGCACCGAGCTGCTTCAGGTCTCAGCTCCCCAGGGTAAGGACCACATGTATCCCCAGCATGAAAGACACTGGGGACAAGCTCCACTCATCCCGCACACACACGGACGGCGGCACTGAGTTCCCAAAGGCCACGGATCACCGGCCATATCTGGACCTCGGTCAGGGCAAATCGGCTTTGCTAGAAGCCGGGTGCTGTGCACAACACTTGTCCTGGGCTGGGCCGTCAATCTCTAGTGACAGGCAGCTCCCAAACCAAAATGTCAGCGCTCACACATGAGCGAGCAGCACACGTCCCGTCAGGCAGCACTGGTGTGGAGGCACCAGCCGAGTTTAAAGCGCTGCACCTGTGTTTGGTCTGTGCCACCCCTCTCCATCCCTCTTGGCTAATTGTTGCCATGGAAACAGATAATGGTCCAGCACAGCCAAATCCTGGCCATTCCTATGGTACCCCATGCTGCTGGGCACATCCTGGTACAGCATTAACCCTGCTGCAGGACAGCTCTTTGCAAAAACCTGATGGTTTTGTCCCAATCCTTCCCAGTGCTGGGGGATGCCAGAGGCTTGTCTGGTGATTTTCCCTCCCTCTGGTGCCTCGAGAGCATCCAGCCCAGCGCCAGGATCCCTGGGGAGTGGAAGGGGTGGGGAGAGGAGCCTGAGGATGGGGCACTCCCCTGCCTTTTCCTCCGGGAACTCTTAATCCTAGAGGATTAGCCAGCAGTGTGTGGTGCTTCATCTTTCCAAAGCCCCGTACAAGTGCTAAGCATTATTATTACTATTATGATTAATTATTATTAAGCAGATTCAGTCCCTACCATGCTCCATTGCCAACCTCTCTGCGAGTGCTTTCTCAGCCTCAAAGGGACTGAACAAACACGCAGCAGCTCAGGAGTTTCTGCCCAGACACAAAAGCACACAGTTTTATAATCTGGGCTGGAAGCAACGCAGGGACAGATTGGGGCTGGCTGGGATGTAGGAGGATCAGTGGCTTCACTTTCATCCCAACAACAGCATCTGAGCATCTGGATCCCTTCACACCAGCTGCCCAAACTCCTGCTTCCTCTCCAGCTGCTTTCACTGCTCCAGCCCACTGCACCTCTCTGGGTGAGAAGGGAACCTTGATTTTTTAGGGGAACCTTTATTTTTTAGGGGAACCCACATGACTCTGTTTACCCCCACACTACCAAGCAGGCAGAACCCCCCCACCACCACGGCGTGGATGCTTCTCGCCCTCCAATCTGGATTGGAGATGCTCTGGGGGCCTCATCCCAACGTGATTAAACAACCATTAGGCCGCCTCGCTTCAAAAAATGAGGATTTACAGACGCCCAAACCTCCATTTAAATGCAAATGTGGTGGGTTTAGCCCGGAACCATGGAAATGAGGAGCATTACAGCAGCAGTGCCGCCATCATTCGGCTCTGCTAGATGCCATCTCAGGAGCGTCAGGATCTCCCCATCCAGTGGCTGGGAGAGGACCGGTGGGCTCCAGGGTCCTGTGTCCCAAATCCACCCCTCCACGAGATCCTTCCCCAGGGACGCTGGCATGGTGATGGATCAGGCTATAGGCTGGGACCTTCTTGGCACCAGCACAACCACAACGATGAGTGAGGGGATGCAGAAACCTCTCTTCATTTTGGGCACCTTCCTACAGGTAATTAACAAAGGACATCAATTAAATCCATAACCCCCCACCACCACACACCCTGTTGTTCGAGGACCTGGCAGTGAATAATGCAGGAGGCTGGAGGGGGAAAGAGCTGCTCAGGTTCTTTCATTATTGATGAGAGATGACAGATCCGCGGCTGACAACCTGCCTAAGAGATATGATTAGCTTGTAAAAAATTAATCGTGCTTCTTAGGGATGACGCGAGCTGAAAACCCCAAGGAGCGGCGTTATCGATGTTCCCTAATTTCAGGGGACTTTGAAAAGGTTTTAGCAAAATTTGGAAGAGGCAATTACATTCAATTAGAGTCACAAGCACCGAGACGTCAGAGCTGCTCAGAGACGCTGCGGCTGCATCCCCTGCTCCTCTGCATGGCCCCTCGTCCTTCTTACCGCAAGGCACAGATAAATATACATTTATACACTGGACTTGCATTTTTGCCATGGGGATCCTTCCTTCTCAACATCATCCCGCACAGCTCAAGCTCAGCAGTTGTGCTCTGGCCCCCCCCCCATCCTGCCATTTGTGACGACAACAGCACCCAGAGCACTCTGCCTGCCAAAAACACCCTCACCTCCCCTTGCACTCCTTGTTTTGCCCTCCCAACGCTCCATGTTTTGCCCTCCCAACATTCACAAAACCCCACAGGTGATAAGGATAATCACACTCATCCTGGCTCGTACCCAGAGTCGGGGTTTTGGCAGCCCAGCCCTGCGTCTCTCAAGGATGTGACACAGGCTCCCAGACTTTTGGGATATTAGGGTGAGGGGCACAAAGCCAGGGATGCTCCAGCATGATGGGGCTGGGAATGCTGGCGGGAGCAATGGTGGGCTTTGCTCAGTGCTTCCCCGGCCTCCTCCATCTCATTACTGGGCACAGATACTGCCATGGCTGGGTTCACAGGGCCACCAAGTACATGCATAATTCATACTTCCCAGCGCACGAAAGCAAGGATCTTCGCAGATCTACTTGCAGATTAAAAACCGTGGCAGTAAGAGATGAAGAACCTGGGGGTCATGGCCGTGCACAGGTGGCCAGACACTTTGCCAATTAGCCGAGCCCTGAAACACGTGCCCAGCCTCGATGACATCCCTGTTACCCCAGTCCCAGCCTCGGCTTCAGGACTCTCTCTGAGTATGCAGGCAGGAGGGATGCCCCTTTCACTGAGGCTTTGGCCAAATCAAGCCCTCCAGCGGTAGATTTTGGGTCCCCATGTCACATGGGATGGAGGGAGCGACTAGGTGGGTTTTGGCTGGTTCTGCTTTGGCCCCTGGTGCAAGCTCAAGATGCCCCTGTGGGATGCATCACACTAGCTCTTGCCCTGCTCCAAAATCCGGCTTGTTTTCTAAATATCCTCATTCCCCAGCCTCTTCTTTGATGCATTTCCCCATGCTGCACCCATACAAGGTGACAACTTGCTGAACAAGCCCCCTCAAAACTGCTGGTGGGCTCTCCCTGTTCATAACAGGGATGTGCACAGGGGTCCCTGAGTGCCAAGCCAGTATGGGGAGTTTATCCCCCTTCTTCCTTACCAGCCTCTTTCTATATATATACAAGTATTATGCTATTTAGCATGTGGTCCGCCACCTAACAAGCATCCCTGGCAAGTCTAGTGGCAGATATACAACCATCCCCACCCCTTCAGCACTATCACAATCCCTGTGCAAAGCCATCAGGTGAAATTCAACATCCCAGCTTTGGCAGGGGGACATCTCAGCACTTGCGGATGCTGGTTATGGTGGGGAACGTGCCTCAAGGAGGTTCAGATGCTCCTCCCCATCACAAAAAGCAGTGTCCAAGCTCACACGATGGCTGGTGAAGATCGGCTGATGCACGGGAGGTGGTTTGGGAGGCAGTGGACACCGGGTATGAGCTCATGAGCATCCACCACCCATTAAAGACCCACGGCAAGACCTCCTCCTACCACACACACCCATGACCCATGCAGTTGGGACCCATCACACCCACGCATCACACAAGGAGTGGTTTTAGCATCACTTGGGTTCATTCCTCTGGCAGATCCCACTGGATTGGGACCAAGCTAGCAGGGAGTGAGTCCCTGCATACAAACAGGAGCAGCCGCCCACCCCCACCCACATTTTGGCTGTTTCTTTGACGCCTGGTAAGGCCTCATTTCTTTATGCATCTCTCAGCATGCGAGATGTTCCCCTCAGGGAAAAGGAAATTAATTTTATCCCTTTGAATTCAGCTCGCTTAGCAGCGATTGCAGAGGGATGTCATTCCCCAGGCCTCCTCCTCTCCCCCAACCCCCGCCGCAGTCCAGGCATGGGGACGCAGCTGCCTTGGGAATGACAGGGACAACAATTCCCCTAAGTCTTTGAAATTCAGATCAGGACCAGATGCATCACTGACACCGTTCCAGGGGGAGAAAGAAACTAGTGTGACACTGTCTGGCATCCTCTGTGCCTCAGTTTCCCCACAGTGACTCCAATCTCCACGGACATCCCACATGCAGCAGCACATCACTTCTAAACTCGCATCTCTCCCTTCCCATTCCAAATTTCTTCCTGGTCCCAGTACTTTGGTTTACTTTCCTTAGTTCATCCCTCTCCCCATGCACACGGACACAGGTCTCTGAACACGGCAGCCACCAGCTGCAGTTTAGCTCCTGCCTTAATTTTCTCTTTAGTGCTGAACTTTTCCCCCTCCCAAAGCCCTCAGCTCCTTTCCACCAGCTCTTAATTTCCCTGCCACTTCCAAGTTGACCTCAAAGAGACCCCAGAAGCTCTCAGGCTATTTCCCGTCACCCTTCGTTAGCTAGAACACTGCAAACGAAACTACCGAGTTAGTCACCTGCCTCTGCCACAGAGCAGCCGCTCAGTGTCAGACCAAAGGTCTGCCCGGCCCTAGGCTGCTTCTCCCTCCCTTCCCCGCTTCTGCACCAAGGGATGAGGGAACTTTCCTGGACAAAACAATTTATTTTCACTTCCATTGCATGATCTCTTTTACATAGCAAAAGAAACAAGGAAGTAGCACCATCAGGCTGCTCGGAGGATATACTTTTCCTCCCTTTGTGCTTCCTCTTGCTTTTCTCTGAGCCTCTCTGTTTACCAGGCTAATAAAGCTGGCTCTGTGTTGCCAGTTCTGGGCTGCACCTTTTCCCCGGAGCCCAGCCCATCCCAAACATGCAAAACTTGTCCGGAAATCTCCCGTCGGCTTTGCCCGCTCAAAGTCACCTTGCCCCAAACCTTCAGCTCCACACTCCAGACTCGCTCAGCAATCATTAATCGTCTTCGCATTCCTGGCATGGAAAAATGCCCCAGCGGGTAACCCTGCTCTGGCAGTCCGACATGCAGCTGGCCGGCAAGCTGGTCCTCTCCGCCGCCGCTCTACTCCTCCTGACTTTGGCGTACAGGTTTTATAAGTCCCGCTCGCTTGCCGGGGGCAAAATCCCACCGGCTGATACGGGAGGAGAGCAGAGGGAAAATGCTGCCCAGGATGGGGATGGGGACGGTGCGGCGGGTCTGCGACGGAGGAGGGTGTTTGGTGGGGAGGAGAGGAGGGATGGTGGGGATAGACAAGTGAGCGGTCACCCGAGTGTCCCTGGGACACAGCGTACGGCTCCCCGGGGGGATCCAAGTCTGCCAAGGGGTGAGGAGGTGGAGGAGGGAGGGGAGGAGATGGTTTCTGAACTGGGGCTGACTCGTGGGAGAGCAGGGATGGCCGGGAGAGGAAGTGAGCTGGGAAGTAGGATGGGAAGTGGGAAGGGAAGTAAGTCGGGAAGTGAGCCAGGAATCGAGCTGGAAAGCGATCTGGGAAACAAGCCAGGAAGTGAGCCAGGAAGCAAAGTGGGAAGGGAGCTAGGAAGTGAGCTGGGAAGTAAGTTGGCAAGTGAGCCGAGCTCCTATGACCCTGGGGATGCAGCTGAAACACTGAGCAGCCACAGTGAGGACGACACACTTGCCCCAGGCACTGGGCTTTCCCCCAGGAGTGGTAATGCCCAGCTGGAGGGTGATGGACATGCTGAAAGCATGGAGCAGGACTTGGCTGTCAGAGGGATGAAGCGGGAGGCTGAGGTGTGCAAGCGGACAATCCAAACCCTCAGCGTCACCTCGGACCTGGGTCTAACGATGATGGCAAGCAACGCAGGGTCAGATGCCTCCTATTCTTTCTCCTCGGTCACAAAGATCCAGGTGGAGGAGAACTACATCGCTGAGCGGCAGGCAAAGGACAGGGCTGGACAGCTGGTCCCTGGTCTCAAAGGTAAAGTCTATGACTACTATGTCCAGTCCATCTCCCAGACAGTGTCTAAGAAGAGGTGTCTCCCCTACATTGCTCCAGGAACATCCTGCCGCCGCAGCTTGGAGCAGGTCAATAAAGAGCTGCAGAGCTTTGCAACCCAGGAGTTGGACCCAGCTTCATCAATGCAGGCTCCCACCACCTCCGTCACAGTTCCACCACCTATGGGAAGCTTGGAGATCTCCCCTGAGCCACCATCTCCTGGCCGCAAAGAGAGCATCCTCCAGATTGCAAACAGCCCCCACCTCCAGCTGACCATGGAGGGTTCTGGGGTCACAGCACCAGCCAGCACACCGCCTGCAATCCCCCAGCCAGGGCTAGTGGCCAGTGCTGACCTCTTCCAAATACCACCACCCACCCACCTGGACCTGGGGAACTGCTACGAGGTGCTCTGCACAGCCAAGGCACAGAAGCTCAGCCATCTCCAGGAGGCCGCCTACAAGGTGATGAGTGACAACTACCTGCAGGTGCTGAGGACCCCATCCATCTATGGGCGTCTCAATGCTGGCGAGAGAGAGCTCATCCTGCGGTGGAGGATGAAGGGTAAGATGTATGTGGCTGTGGCAGATGTCAATGTGCAGGAGCCTGGCCTCCACACCAGCCGCCTCTGCTACTACAATGATGGAGGGGACTGCTGGCATCGCCTCTGCCACGTGCCACCAGAAGTGGTCTCCCAGGGGTGCGCCATGTGCAGCATGTTCAACTACCTCTTTGTGGTGGCAGGCTGCGAGGGCACGGGTCGAATGCAAAGACCCTCCAACCGTGTCTTCTGCTACGACCCCTTGACCAACATCTGGAGGGAGATCTGCCCCCTGAACCAAGCACGGCCACACTGCAAGCTCGTGGCCTTGGACGGCCACCTCTATGCCATCGGCGGCGAGTGCCTCTACACGGTGGAGCGCTACGACCCCCGGCAGGACCGCTGGACCTTCACCGCACCCCTGCCCCACGACACCTTCGCCGTGGCCCACACAGCCACGGTGTGCGATGGGGAGATCTATGTGACGGGGGGCACTTTGCGCTACGTGCTGCTGCGTTACTCCGCTCGCTCCGACAGCTGGAGGGTCAGCCCAGCTGTCAGCAGCAAGGACAGGATGGCTGAGATGGTGAGCTCCAGCGGCTTCATCTACCGCTTTGACATCCACCGCAGCACGGGCATCAGTGTCTACCGCTGCAGTGCCAAGGCCAAGCTATGGTACGAGTGTGCCACTTACACTATGCCCAACCCATCCAGCTTCCAGTGCGCTGTGGTGGGAAGCCTGGTCCACTGTGTTGGCCGACGCTTCCACATACGCTTCTTGGCTGACCACATCTCACCACGCTTTGGGACCAGGGAGCTGCAGCCCTTCCCATCACCCCGTGGCAACCTCCTCCTGGCCGTCCTGGTGCTGCCAGAGGGAGGGATGACCCAAACACAGGTTTGAGGGATCCATGCTGGGGGTCTCATGCAACAGTGGTGATATGTAGCTCAGACGTGACATGATGGTGAAAGCTAGTAGAAGAAGCCACCAGCCCACACTGGACTAGATAGCATGGGACCAACACTACCAGGGCAGTGTTACCCATACCTACCATCAAGTAGGTTTCCTTTCAGTCCCCGTAAGTAAGGAAGAAGACAAACTGCCCTTGGATACTGCCAGTAAACCCAGCCTTGAAGACACAAGGAAGAGCAAAGCAGGACCTGGGTGGACTTATTTACTTAGAGGTATTTAAACATAGGCGTGCTTGCTTGGATGCAAATAAACCACGGCTCGCTGCAGGCTCCCAGCTGTGCACTACCCAATAAGTAGCTGCTTTACGCACCAGGTGTTTAACGTGGTGTTGACCTGAACATGCAACACACAGGGGATTTTAAGGTGGAGGAACACAGCAGGGAGGTATCCCTAAGGAGGTATCACCCAAGAGTCAACTCCATCGGCATCAAGCCAACATTGAGCCTTCAGGCTCACATATCATCCCAGGGCTGGAGGCTGGGGGCCAGAGGGCGCACTGCTCCTACTATTACCTTCTCCTCAGCGCAGAATTTTATTTATATATATATATATATATATATTTATTGATATTTATATGCATGCAATGTAAACAGGCACCATAGATTTATAGACAGCTGGCATTAAATGAAATTAAAGTGAACATTTGGTAAAATTAACCACGGGCTACTGTTGCGCATCATTTCAAGCCGTAGCCAAGCCTAATGGGAACAAAGAGGCCGATGCATGTTTTACATTGCTAATTACTGCACAGACAACATCTCTGAGGAGGCAACCAAAAGCAAACCAGGGCCCTGAATGTGAGCAGCCATTCTTTCATCCCCTTTTCCCCGACCTCACTCTGCTGTCTCCATGTCCTGCCAAAAGCCTACTTTGGGTAATTACATTTTCTTCCCCTCAAACGACTTGTCATCCATCATCTGTCAGCCCCAGATGGACAAAACCAGCTCCCAGACAGACAAAACCCTCCTGTACCTGCCTCCTCAGTGGCAGCATGTCATGAGTATGAAGTCATGGATGTACCTGAAGGTAAGAGAGGTGCTGCAGCAGTCCATGGTATCACCATTTACACCTTGCATAGTGGTTTAGGAGAGCTTAAGTTAATGTTCTCTTACAATGCTCACAAAAGTATTTATTACTTCTCTCAGTCACTGCCTGGAAGCCTCATGTTTCTGCCTTCAAGGGCTTCCTACGAAGGTCAGTGACATCCACCCATGTTAGGAAACCTTGGGAGGCTGAGTTAATTAACCCTGCCTCCAAGGTTTGCTTATTATCTGTAGCATGTTGCTTCTGCTGATAGTGACACAGCCTGTCCCTGTGCTAAAAGCTGCCACGGTCCAGCCTCTTTCACCCACCCTGGGGCCACCCCTTCCTACCCCAGGAGGACCACCCCATCGGCATGCCAGGGCTGCAGACTCCTGCACCCCAGCATCTCTCTATGCGGGGGTGATTGGGCTGGTAAACTTTATGAGTCAAAAAGCCTCATTATTATTATTATTATTATTATTATTATTATTATTATTATTATTATTATTATTATTATTATTATTATTTAACTCCTTGTTATTTAGCTACCTCCATAGCCAGCACTCGGAGCTGCAAGCTCGACATGATAAGCTCACCCATGTTGCAACACACTACTGTTTCTTCCCTGGCAAAACCCAGGTACTGGATGTTTCACCTGAGCAGCTCAGACCCTTTGTAACCTGCAAAAGCCTCTTGGCCACATCAGCATTCTGGCTTCATGCCCTTCGGCATCCCGGCCACAGCGGGCTGTGTACTGGGGAGCAGAGGACACACTGACTGGGTGGGAGCTGGGCAGCTGGAGCCCTTCCAGGTGACAGCTTTTTTTTTTTTTTTCATCCCCAGTAAAGCTTTCCTGGGATCCTGCCCTTCTCATGGTGCCTCTTTGCTTCCTCTTAATATTTCACCTTTTCTTTAACTCCTTGCTGCCAGGCTCCGGCCTCAAAACCCAGCAGCTTTTCCTCATTCCCCAGCCTGACCGTGAGCGATGAATAACAAGGACCAGGGGTGGGCAGCTCTCCCCTAGCTCCTGCACTCTCCAATATTAACATGATTTGCCTGGGGAGGCATTTTGGAGATTAAAAGCACCGAGGACATCCCGTGCCAGAGCACTGCTTGTTCTACAGGGAAGGACAACCAGGTTTGGAGCAAAAAAACCATGCAGCGATCCTGTGGTTGAAGGTGAAATGACTTCTGGCTGCAGTTAAGGGAAAGGACAAATGCAAACTGATACTCAGACCTGGATGATTTTTTTTTGCTCCCAAATACCTGTGCAGGGGAGGAGCCTTTGGAGGGCTGGCGGGTGTGGTGGCAATAGCAGCGTCACCAGCCAACTCCTGCCACTACCACCAGATGCCAGCCGTTGATTTCCAACTGTGCTGGACACCCACCTCTGTGTTTCTGCTAACGGGCAGCAACTTCACATCATGGGCTTGCAGCTCTCAGGATGACCATAAGGCCATCAGGTAGTTTCAGTGTGCTTGCGACATTAGGATATTATTTATTTTCACCGATCGGGTTGGCAAAGCAACTACAATTTACAGGAAAAAGTGTTGGGAGGCACATGGTGAATCCTAATAAAACTCCACAGCATGCCCCCATGGAGCTACAAACCACCCCAAGCGAGCTCAAGTAATGACAAATACTTTGAGATTGCAATAAACCCAGCAGGGCTGGGGGTTTATCTGGAAGATCCTGCTCTAGGGAGCCTCTTCTCTTGCTGCAATACTGGTCACTGCAAGCCAGGACCCTCACTGGGTCGGGGACCGCCAGGACTGGGTGTGGGAAGGGAAAACACAACCACCACTGGCCTTGGGAGAGCTGGGAAAGCAAATTTCCAGCATCCACTAGCAGTTCTTCCATCCCTACGATTCCCTCAAGGGTGCCACCAAGGATACTCGCCAGCAGAGAGCTCTTCATCACCAGCACCTAGACCCCTCGCTGCCTGCTGAGCCCCCCGTCCCTGGTTTATCTCCCAAAAGAAGGGCGCGACTACTAAACCGTGCTGCTCTGCAACCAAATATAACCTTTGCACTAAATTTGGTATTTTTTTCTAATCAAGAAGACCCATTATCTACCCCCGCCATGTTTATTTAGGCAATTACATAGCTTAATGTACATTGATTCAGATTCTTAATTTTTACATTTTTGATTATGATAAAAAACCAGGGAGTGACGCATTTCTTATTTGCTCAGCGTTCTTTTTTTTCCTTTGCAATGTGCCAGGCTGCATGCGAATGGAAATTGGAAGTCAATTAAAGAAGTGCAAAACCAGCATTTTAAAATCTTTTTTATTAGTTAAACACGGTTACCTTCAATGTGTCGGCTAGAGCAGGGTGGGAAAAAAAAAAAATTAAAAAACCAAAAAGCAAAAAAGTGAGCTTATCCAGACATGTTTTGCATTTAAAACCGATGTGATACATGAAAGAAATATTAAGCGTAGCGAACTGACAAATTAAGTATCTCGTTCCTGACAAGTGGGAGCAAATTCAGTGTCAGTGGTTGAGGAGCCAGGTGGGAATTTAAAGGCAGGGAAAGGGAAAGACCCACTGCAGCATCTCTAGGTGCTGGTAATGGAGGTGGAACCTCTCAGCCCCTGGTCATCATTTCTCCTAGACCCTCTAGAGAGTTACCTACAGCAACATCTACACTTCTACAGGTTGCGTTGCCATCAAGAGAGCCTCCATGCGATCGTTAAAGCCAAGGAGAGATGTCCTGTCCTCTCCCACTCGTTTCTTCACCCCTCCTGCACCTAACCCAAGCTGACCACCCACACATGGCCACCAGCAACCCCTTGGCAGAGCAGATCCTGGAGGCACCAACCTCAGCCTTTCTCCATTCTGGTTTGCAACCCGGACCAGCCCAGTTGTGTAGACAGGGAGCTGCACCCAAGCTGCAGAACCTCGTTTGCAAACAGACACTAACGAACCAGCGCTCCACAGACCCCATCGCTTGCAATACCCAGAGCTGCCTGCCTGGTGCCAAAGGGACATTTCTTGGCAGCATCCACAAGGAACTACTCTGGGAACGTCAGCCAGCTCCTTGCGAGCGCGGAGAGGTCAGTGCTAATGAAAGATGCTATCGCAGAGCCGGCGTCCGGCCAGACAAACATAATTAGCAGTATTTGCAGAAGACAAACCTTGGCGAGGACGGGGGGGATGGGAGCACATCCCCTTGTGATCGTTTTGGGGAAAAAACACGGCCATTTGGAGGCCTTCCAAGCTAGAATAACAGCCTTGCCAATGACTATTTAATTAAAACCCGCACGGCGTTCGAAGGGAGAAGGGCTGTGAGTGAATAAGCGCGGTGATAAAATATACATCGACTCCAGCATAAGTTCTCTCTCCTCAGCACAAGCTTTTGCTTAAACCGTTGATGGTTTTTGATTCACAAGCTCCAGCGAGGAGGGAACATTTGCCAACCACTATTTCAATCCCGCCGGGAGTTTTTTCCGGGGGTTATAGCCATGCCGTAGTTTAGGATGTGTCAGCACTGGCATCATAAACACAGATCAGAAACGCTATAAAAGGAGGAAAAAAAACCCAAAAACCACACTCCTGGCTGGAGTTTAGCATCCTGCAAGCTCAGGCCAAAGGCAAATTATTTCTCCGTTACTGAAATAAAATCAATAAAGCTCATTTTTATTTACAGAAGAGCCAAAGAGGGGGAGAAGGGAAAACTCCTCGAGCTGCAGAAGGAGGATAGGGGTGTTTACAGTTTTCAGCCGTTACAGTTTTCAGCCAAAAGCACAAAGCACTGGGCAGTGATTTCAAAGCAAAGAGCAGCAGCTGGTCTCTTCTCAGTTTTCTTTCATGTACCTTACCAAAAACGTCCCCAGATCCCTTAGAGGTGCCAACCCTGGGGTCAAATCCCTCACCCCGAGGCAACCTGGGGAGATGTTATCTCTCAGGAAGCTACCATCTAGTAAATAAAACCAGATTTATTATTATATCAGCTATTTCGGGTCATTGCTTTCCTACAACAAGTCCTGGACACAGAGAGGGGATGAGCATGTGGTTTGGGAACAACAGACTCTGTGCCAGGTCACTGCCCCCAAAATACCTCAATTCCCACCAGGGCAAATAATCTTTTAGTTCATCACTGTTTTCTGAAGGGGAGGATTCTGGGCAATGCTCAAGATGCTCCAAATCAACATGGTTTGTGCCATTCACACCTGCCGAATGCCAGGCTTGGTTTCTGGCAGAAATTACCTTTTTGTCCTGAAATGAGTTGCCTGGCAAGGCAGGGCAGGGTTTGTGCTGGTGCTGGGGCTGCCTGCCTTCCCCAGAAATAGTGATATTTTAAATTTAGTATTTTATTCAGTCCCAGCTTGAAGTGCCTGCTCAGGGAGCGAGCAGCAACACACCTCCCATGGATCCCTGCATTTGCATCACCCAAACCCTGCCCACGAGAGCCCCCCTTGCCCCCCAAGAACTCCTTAACCAATCATGGGGCAACAAGGCACCTCACCAAGCCCCATCAAGGATGGTGGAAAGGAGGACATAGGTCATCCTAGATCCAACCCCAAGGAGACAATGGGCACCACAGCAGTACAGGATGTTTGATTTCTTCATGGCCAAGGGGTCATCCAACAAAATGCCCCAACTCAAGCCAAGGTGAAGCCTATCCCT